CTGGCATACGCAGCACGTGGCCAAGCCAGCGCAACCTGTGCAGTGTGATCAGTTCATCTATCGAGGGTGAGTTATTTCTCCCGAATACCATTCGACGTACTTCAGAATTGCTGATCCGGTGTTCCCACCAGATTCGGGCAATGGTCCGAAGACATCGATGGTCAAACACTGAAAGCCTTTTGACGTCCTCGGCGCGCAGCGACCAGGTTTCTGATCCATATAGTAATATGGAGCGCACGGCAGCACTGTAAACTCGACCACTGACAGAGAAGCTGATGTCACGCCTACGCCACAGGTGACGTAGGTTCGCAAAAGCCGCTCTGGCCTTCCCAATCCTCTGTAGTATGCTTTACCTCAAGGCACCATCGGGCCCCCTAATGTCATTCAAAGGTATTTTTCCTGGGTCGGGTTAAAATTATTGGCGAACAAAGATACGTTTCGAAAGACGGGTCAATCACCATTTATACCTTTACTCTCTGAAGGTACCCGAGGAACCTGCTCCGACCGTAAGAGTATAAGTCTCACCCAACTCCTAGCATGGTCACTCTCTTTTGACCTCACTACGCGAGACATTAGGTAGGCTTTTGACTGAGTACTGGGCTCGTTGATGAAATCTTCGTTCTACTTCAAATATTTGAACAGAGATGGCTCAGGTGGTTAGAGCATGAATTTACTGACCGGGAGGTCCGTGGTTCGAACCCGACCTCTGCCCCTCGACTTCCCCTGTCTAGGCTTGGGCAACCTGACAGTATCCCATCCCTCGTGCCTCTTTCGGGTGGTATGGCAGCTAGGCACCGAAAGGGCGCTACTGCTGAACAATTATTTTTTTGAGCACCGTCACACACCACGGACTTACCGTGGCGGTTTACTTTAAGCCGTTGACCTTGTAGATGGTTTGGTTCTGTTTGGTGTCAAAGTGTGGGTATTTTTTCATGCCGTTCATTCTCATACTCCTAGTGGTGTGAGAGATTTTACTTGACCGTTGGGAGCCCTTCTCAATTAGGTTTTGTCTGGATCATCCCCTCTCAATCTTATTCAGGCTTGTCATCGGTACGATCATGGAATGTACTTTCTAAGGGACCGCGTGTCGAAATCACGTCTGATAGACGTAGGTCATGTGGACAACGTTCTCTTGTTTCATCACCTCATCTTTGTCAGCTGCAAGAACCGCGTACTTTTGTAGAGGTTGTAGCTGCCACAGTTTCCTTCACCGTTGATTTGGGGAGGTGGAGTAGATAGCTGCGCATTGGGGGTGTGAGCTGATAAATTGGTGCATAAACACGTCACTGCCGGTGGAGTTTTAAGTGGGGGGATTGGGAAGGGAGCTATGCATTGAAGGCAATAGCTTGGATGCACGAGCACCATTGAGGGCGCGGCTGGGCCATGTCTGACAATGTCTCCGACCATTGATGTGGCCCGTCTCGGGGTCCCCCATTCTGGAAGGCGGTAATGACCAGCGCACCTGAGTTTGCTTGCTGTCGCTTTTGTACTTCACTGCCAAGTCATTGTTTGACCGCCTCTGGCTCGTTTCCACCCTTCACGAAAAGAACCTTTCGAGGAAGTCGGTCGACTGGCATACGCAGCACGTGGCCAAGCCAGTGCAACCGATGCAGTGTAATCAGTTCACCTATCGAGGGTGAGTTATTTCTCCCAACTACCATTCGACGTACTTCAGATATGCCGATCCGGTGTTCCCACCAAGACACCGATTATCAAATACTGAAAGTCGTTTGACGTCCTCAACGCTCAGCGGCCAGGTTTGTGGTCTGCATAGTAGTATGGAACGCACCGCAGCATTGTAAACTCGACCCTTGACGGATAAGCTTATGTCACGCCGACGCGACACATGACGTAGGTTCACGAAAGCTGCTCTGGCCTTCTCAATCCGGATGGAAATATCTTTCGCCAGACCACCGTGACCGATACAGCTGCCCAGGTAAACAAATTTGTCTACTACCTCAATCGGTTCATCCGCAAGCATGAGGTTAGGGTTCGAGCCCACCCAGTCTTGCAGTAGCACTTTACACTTATCAGGTGTGAAGCGCATGCCGAACCGCGAGGCAGAATTATTTAGATTATTTAGTATTGTTTGCAATGCCACGGGGTCAGATCCTAGAAGAGCTATGTCGTCTGCGAACTCGATATATGTGAGCGGAGGCCCAGGGAGCACTTCGACCCCACAGGCATTAGAGGCTGGTAGTGAGTCTTCCATGATCGTATCAGTGACGAAGTTGAAGAGGAAAGGTGAAAGAGGGCAGCCTTGTCGGACACCACTTAATGTGTTGAAATTAGGCGAGATCTGTCATAGTGCCTGACGGTCTACAGAGTCAAAGTCAGCTTTCACATCAAGAAACACAACCATTGTTGGTTGCTGGTCGCTATTCGAGTGTGAAGATATGATTGATGCAACCTCTTGCAGGACGGAACCTAGGTTGGTTTTCACGGATCTGCCTCTCTCGGTGTTCAGTCAACCTCCGAAGGATAAGACGAGAGAGCACCTTCGATGCCACAGCTAACAGGCTGATGCCACGGTGGCTTTCACGCAGTGTTCACATATTCTTTTTGAAGATAGGGATAACCGTTGGCGTGCCCATTCATTAGACACTTTCTCTCCTTCCCATATACCACCAATAAGCTTTTTCAGATGGATCACCAGGGATTCTCCTCCTTTGAAGAGGGCTGGATACGGGCCATCCGGTCCTGGTGCCTTATCACGTTTTAGCACGGACATTTCGTACATTGTTTCTTCTTCCGACGGGAAATCAGTGTTTACATTCCATTCGCCTGTATGCACTGTCTCTACAGGCTGTCGCAGGAGACCAGCAGAACTGTCCTTTGGAATGTTCGGTCCGTCTTCCCAGTGGACGTTTCTGCGAGTGAATTAGTGAGCCGTGTTTTTCACTTATCGTTTCACTGGCCGTTGCTTTCCTCGGGCCGGTCGATCGTATCAGTTGATATAGGGCACAGCTGTTTCCGATAGCAAAAGCTTTCTCCATCTCCCGATCTTTCGGTGTCCACCAGAGCCCTCGTTCTTTCCTCAGGCTCTTCAGTATTCGGCGTCTGGAGGATTTGCGTGCGCCATCGTACTCGTTGCCTGCTGGTAACGATTTCCTGGAATCAATTATGTATAGCGATCTCGGCAGTGAACCATCAGTGCCAACACTGATGTTGCTACCTTTGATGATGATGATGTTGAGCGATCTCGTCTTTTGGTCGAATCGAAGGGGTCTGACAGACGCCGCTAACATACCTGTTTATGTTTCGCCACACTTCATTGACATGCTCACTGCAACCACAATATTGGTTTACTGTGGAAAGTTGTTTGGCTAGCTCAGATCGTTATTGTTGAGCTATCGTCCTTCTTCGAAGATGGCGGATTGGCATGCTTCTTGCTTATTTTCGAGGGTCTTAAGAGGAGCGAACTGTCAGGCGTGCATGCACCATGGCATGATCGGAATCAAGTGGTGTGCCCCAAAAGGAACGGCAGTCTTGAATTGTGGCTCTCCATCGGTGACTGATGGCCACGTGGTCCAACTGGGTCCACGGTTGATTTGTAGTTGGCGGCCGCCAGGTTACGCGGTGCGAACGTTTATGTTGAAAGTTCGTACTTGCCAGAAGCAGTTCGTGATCAGCACACAACTGAAGGAGTCGATCTCCGTTGTCTGTGCGGCGAGCATCGACTCGAATCGACCGTCCAAATGTGATTCCAAGCAGCTAGGACGGCTTACTTGAGCATTCATATCGCCTACAAGGATCACAATGTCAGTGCTTTTTGCCTGGCGAATGAGCCAGATAGCTCTCGATAGAAAGTATCCTTCTCCGCATCAGAACTGCAGTCCGTTGTGAATAGGCCGACACTACAAACAGGCACTGATTTTTATGCCGAAAGACATTGAGCTTGATTAAACTAAATAACCTGACGGCGCAAAGACGACTGTCCACTGGGATCCAGTCTAGGAAAGCGCGTTCAGCTCTGGGGCTGAGTGCAACTCCCACGCTATATATTCCACGAGTCATCGCTTCTGGGTCACCGGACACACGGAGGGAGAAATGTGAAAGAGCTGAGTTCATTCTTGGCGTTCTGAGATGCATAGCCACGCTTGGGTCTTGTATGCGTGTTTCGGAGACGCAACATACATCAATTTTACGGGAGTATAAGGTTTCAGCTTGTTTGCCAATTTGACATAGAGTACGGACGTTAAGAGCTCCTATATAGAAGAGATTTCGTGAATTTAGAAGGGTGTTATTTTGTTTTCGGGGCGAAATGGCCCAAGTGGTTAGAGCGCAAATTTACTTACCAGAAGGTCCGTGATTCGAACCCAAATTCTGCCTCTCGACTTCCCCTGTCAAGGCTTAGGAAACCTGACAGTATCCCAGCCCTCGTGTTCCCTTCTGGTAGCATGGCAGCTAGGCACCGAAAGGGTGTTACAGCTGAAGGATGTTTGGCAGGATAGAATATGATGAAGCAACACGCCACAACCCAATATTTGTCGAGTCACCACTAACCACTGATTTTTGTGACGATAGTTGGTGTCCGTGATAAATTAGAGTTTTTAGAGTCCTGAACAAAGGTCAGTCAAGTGGAACCCCCCACCAATGTACGGGCTTGTGCTAGCATTCTTGAATCCCAACTACCTTAGCATGTTAGTACCCGGAGCGTGCAGTTCAGATGAAGTAGAAATCAGACCATTCTTACGATAACTGTTGGGAATCACCTGATCCGAAGGCTTCCTGTGAAGGAATCATCCAATAATCGAATACGACGCGTAATTAAGCACTCAGTCTGAGGAAAATCTTTCTGTCCCGTATTTTGGAGAGTCAAGGGTTGGTGCATATGGGGAACCTGATGATTAATGTGTCCTTGGCAGGACCGAAGACCAGTAAAGTGCAGTTAGATGCAGTTAGATGCAACTGCTTTCACAAAATCGGTTGAAACCATGCGAACGCTGAGGGTTACAACAACTCTGGGTATTTCTGAAGGAAACCAGCTATGTCATTTGCTGTACAACAGATGCATAGGCAGACATTCAGGGATGGATTTACGATAAGGAAGGTTGGTTTCCCTTCTGTTTGATCCATTGGGTAGGGCTAGTATGAATGCATAAGCGTTGGGCGAATCTGAGCTTTCAGTTAGATGAAGCTGAATAAGTGTAATGGACTCTGAGAAAAAAACAGAAGGAAAGCAAAAGACCTCAGTCCGATCTTATGGGAGAAAAATTAGTAAAGGAAGGCGCACAGGGTGAGCATTAGAATAATTGGTAATGACAACGAGTCCAGTGTGACAATGATCTGGAGTCCGATCAAAGGGATTATGACTACTGGGTTTTGGATCAGGTATGGTCCATTATGTTCACTGATTTCCACTTTATAACTGTAGTGACGTCGGTTTTCAGGCATATGTTGAAAGTGGTGAATTTTATGAATAGCTATCTGGTTGCTTCCTGTCATGAATGGGCGAAAGTGAGCTCTTCAGGGTGTAGATAATGGGAAACAACTCATTGACACAAGGTGCGAACAGGTTCAGTAAAAGTGCAGATGCACAGGCATCAAGTAGGTTTGAAAGGGCGCCGCAGACTCGCACTGCTATTGGCCCTCCGTGTACAAAACAAGAACACAATGACAAATAGCTTGGTATAGGTGTTTTCCGGACCTATACTGGTTTATGAATGTCAAGCTGCTAATGGAAGTACTGGCGACTTTAGAACGAATCATTTGGGCAGTCCGAAAACTGTTTGGGTGGCATTAGCTTTTGGGATGCAGAAGATTTCAGCGCATTGCCAGTCGTTCGTTAATTTGCTTTGACAATGTCTTTTGGAAGTCTACGCTAACCTTGCGACTAAGTGAACCATTGCGTGAACCGGGAGCAATAATGCACATCCGAAAACCTTGACTGTAAAATGGGTGGATTTCGATGAAAGTGTAAGCCCACTAGCAGTCAGTAAGGTTAGTTTACCTCGCTATCCTTGATTTTGAGGAGCGCTTTTGTTAGCGGAACAGGTCGCCCGATGGGAATTTCTGCTGTAAACTGACGTTATTGGCCCACTTTTGAGAGTAGCTCTTTAGCACTCTTCATGCTTGTCGTATGTTCAAAGCGGAGATATGACTGACGGTACCATTATCATGGTTCTTCCTGCTATCGTTAAATTCTACTATCTGTTGGATAAGGTGTATCTTCAGACTGATATCTCAATATTTTCTGTTCATATTTTGATTTCTTGTCTATTTTTTCGTACTATACTTTACTGTTCATCCTACTTACAGTTGAACGATGGGAATGTTTCGCTGATCCCTCAAAAGTCTGAAAATCTCGAATGCACTATTCATACCTGCCCAACCCTAATCAAACAAGGTTATTTACGGTTACTTGATTGTTTGGATTTCCTCAGATTTGGCCGCAATTTTCCCGTCAAGGAGATTTGAAACATCCCAGTTGACTGCTATCGTTCTCAGCCATCGCACAACCGAAGGCCTTAATGAGTGGAGTGAGCTAGCTGCTAACGAAAGGGAAGCAATCGCGGAAACCGTAGGCCATTTTATCTTCCGCTCATTTTCCACTTTATTACAGTTCACCAGATCCGCCATCGATATCTGCGCTTCTTTGAAGGAGTTGGGCTACTGGGCGGATTTCATAAATCCCTACACGGGAACGCCTGTATGTTTGCTT